TATATCTCAATCTTTCAACCTTATTCATGAAACCAAAAGAGACCTTCCATAGGGAGATACATTTCCAATAAAAACTAACAGTGATTTTTATTCTGCTTTTAAGAGCTCATCAACTGTCAACACTTCCCTGGCTGATGAATCACTGCTCTGACAAATTTAATCCAGAGCTTGTTCAAGACATGCGACAAAGGTGGCCAGCTCACTAATGATGACCATCCAGAGGCACAGTGCAAGGCTTTATATGAGCTCTCAGCACTCTGGATTCCATGTTTTAGCAAGACACCACACCTTGCCTTAAACAGTGAGGATATGCAGTCTTACAGTGCCATGCCTTACTTGCAGAGAAGTTATTTACCTACCCAGACGCAAAGATTTTTAGACTTTTCCACCTTCTTGGGCCTTTATTATTCCTTTGGGACTACTGCTCATCCCACTGCCTAATCCTGGTTCCCTGCCCTGCCAAGAAAGCTAACAAAAATACCAGCTTTAGCTGCCTTCTAACTTGGGAGCTGGCTACCTATTCCATCCGCATGTTGGAGAATGGTGCTACAGTGGGTCAAATCCAACAGGAGCACTGCTGTGGGACTGAAAGCAAACAGTTTGCTGAGTTATTAATGTTCTTATCATTATGCTGACAGACAAAAGGAAAAAATATTAAAAGCAGCCTTATCAGAAGTTCATAAAGAGAGGGCAATCACTTACTTCCACGACGGATGTTAATCAGCAGATTCCCCTTGAGAATTGTGCATCCCTGCAACATTTGTGCTGATGTGACAGAGTCAATGGTCTTTGTTTTCCCATCCTCACAGATTTTGGGACAAGGCCCCTCACAAGGACTGCAGAACATGCTGTTAGGAAAGAAAGGGAGACTGAAAATAAGCAATGATACACAGACTCTGAGTCTAGGGACTGCTTGAGTTAAGTTTTGAAAGACATGTCCCTCTAATGACAAATTCTTCAAGCTAGAATGAAAGTTATCATACTTCTGCAGAGGGCTGCAGATAACTTAGCACACTCACCTGCTGGACTCCAGAGAGGCTGGAGCATCGTACCTCTCATTTGCAGCAACATGGGAGTGAATGAATGGACCCAGACCCACTGGCCTGCCAGCTTCTGAAAAGCTTTGTGGTCCTTCCAAAGTGGAAGGCACTTCAGGTAAAACCCAGCACTCTTGCATTTGTGCATTTACTCTAACTTAAGAGCTAGACCACCCTTCTCATTTATGCAGACAGTCTCTGCATGCTGGGAAGTTTCATGCTAATCCAAGCCCAACCTCCAAAAATAGGCGAGCCAGGGATTGGAGATGGGAAAATACTGTTCCAGTTCTTAGAAAGTTGTCTGTCTCCATGCCCTTAAACCAACATTTACCAAGCTCAGTACCAGGGAATTCCATGTTCCTGGCTGTTTTAACTCGGGAAAGACACCTGTGGGAGCATAAAGTCACGAGTGACGTGGAGAAAGCAAGCAGTGAATCAGTCACTATTTCTTATAGCTTAAGAGGTATTAAAGCAGCAAGTTTAAACAAACAGAAGGATGCATCTTCACGCAAGGCAAAGCTAATTTGCAACAGGAATTGGGAGAGACAAGCCAGAAGTCTGAGCAGGTTCAAAATGGATTACACAGATGGAAGGCGAACAGGTCCACCAGTGACCATAAAGCACCAAGAAAGACACAGCCCCGAAATCAAATTGCCAGAAGCTGGGAGGAAACACTGAAGTGCAGGCTCACTTCTCCTGTTTCTTATACTCACGAGCACTCATAAGTGGTTTTTAATGGCCAAACTCAAGGAACAAGAACTCAGGCCAGCCCAGCCTTTGGCTACATCAGCTTTTTAAAGGCTCCATGTTTTACTGCCTGCATATTCATCTCAAAATTGATCACTTCATGTGTGCACAAAACATGCCCTCTGATCACTCCTCCTGGTAAGTGTCTTTCCCAATTCAAGGTCTTCGCCCCTCCCAATTTATTCGAGCGCTTTCCTTCATATTTTATTATTACTCTAGTGCTTTAGAGGGGAAAAATTTCTCAGGTGAATATCTGGCTTCAAGCAAAGGCCGTGTTAAGTTGCTTACATCCCAGCGTCGACTGGAGAAGACTGCTTTACTATTTGATTGAATGGACTGATGACACACATGCATACAGACACACGACTCGTGCAGGTATCATCACAACCACCTTTCCAAAAAAAAAATCCAACAGCCTACAAAGATATCTTTTTAGCATAGTATTAAAGCACTACGAATTTTAGCACACTGATTGCCCTTTACTTAAAGTCTATGACTTCCAAGGGTCAGCAGGCAACTAAGGCTGTTTGCTTAAACCACTGGCAAAATAAGAAAATCATAAGCACGCATCACTCCAACTGTTAGAATTAAATAACAGCAGGTGAAGAATTTCCTGACATCCTTGCAAGAAATTGTTCTGTATAATATTGTCAGCTGCTGCATTATTTTTGTCACCATCTACATGATTGCTCCCTTCTAAAACACCATTGTTACCTTCTGGAAACAGTGAAGGAAGGGAAATAAAATTAAACACACTAAATAATACATGTGTCTAAAATGCAAGCACACATAAAGCAAATACGATGTGAAGCCAGATAACTCCTATGGTTTGTTCTATGTGATAACGGTCATCAGCCAACCTCCAACCTTGTGTTTCTGGGCTTTCATTTTGTTACTGTCTACTTGAAGACCTGGTTCTGCATTGTACTGATCTCCTCAAGTCCTTCAGAAGACTCAGTGGGAACTCACAACGCCCAGAACCACACACAGTCAGACCTTTCAATGGTGAATTCATCTAACCAAGCATTTACCAGGAACTCACGCAATTCCCCATCACATGTTCTCATTTCTACCTAATGTTATTTGCATGACAAGCTCCCACAGAATAACGGGTGGAAAAACCCCAACATGACAACTCCAGTGGACTTTCCAGAAGCTGTGTTACCTTTGGCTCCCATTGCGTATAAATCCAGAGGGGCATTCTGCCATGCACTCATCGTTGTGAATCACAAACCTCTCGTATTCACTTGTTTCGGTGGCAGGGACTTTGGAGCAAAACTCTTTAGTCACACAGCGCCAGCCCTCGAACTTGTAGGTGTTGGGAGGACAGGTAGGCATGCAGACTCCTTCGTAGTAGTAATTGCGGCAGGCCACGCAAGCAGTGTTGTTGTCAGGCGCCGTGCAGCTCCCCAAGCATTCAGGGTGGCAACACTCATTTTGGTCAGTACAGGCTCGCTTGCCACATGAGCTGGGGCACACTGTAAAACAGAAAGCAAGGTAGCATGAACAAAAGCTATTAAATAAAATGAATGGCATTAAAGGAAGAACCCTGATCCATACAACTCTATGCTTTCGTTCCCTGGGCTCCAGAATATGTCCGCAAAAGAACCAACTCCTGTAAAACTGACAAATTAAATTCTGTTTTTCTCAGTCGTAGTTGCCTGAAAATATCTTTTTCTCAGATCAAATTTATAACATAAGCCAATTAAAGAAGACAGAAAACTGCTGAAAGCAAGATTTATAGGATAATAAGGATAACGGAAACAACCAAGTACTGGAACCTGTTCCATAGCCCTAGTATTATGGTTTGGGGTTTTTTTGGGGTTTTTTTTTTTTGAGTGCTGACTTATTGTCTTTCTAAGCATTTCTTGTCTTTCTTATTTGTACTTCAAATTGGTGTTTTAATGGCAAGAAAATAAGCTTCCTTTAAACAACTTAATTACACTTGTACAATAAAGCACTGCTATACTACAGCACACATGGCTAGGTTGACCCCAGCGTAGCATCCCCATGTTGCTTATGTATGCAAAATAAAGTTTAATAAAGTACAGATGGTACACATCAAATACTGCAGAATCACAGAGCTATTATTTTCCCTTGAAGAGCCTAACAGAATTCTGCCTTATCCCCAAATTCTGGGTTCAGAGAACAAAATACGAAAGGGAGAAAAAAAATGGGGTGCGAACTGATGGAGACATTTGTTTTATGTGAAAGCATTTCAGCTTGGAAGACACAAACAACGAGCAGAATCCTCAGCAGACAAGCTCACCACTGTTACATCAAAAGAAGTGGCAGCATTATATTTATGTAACAACAACATTTTGATTACAGCACTGTATGGCCTTTTAGCCATGCGAGCTGTGTGCCAGAGGCTCTGTAAACAAACACAGATAGGAAATCTGGTTTGCATTAAGTAACTGTTTTCCACTTTCTAACTTAGCTAAAACACAGTACCAATAATAACAGCATAAACCAAAATTTCAGTAGTACGACTACAGCGAGATCCAAGCGAAGCTCCACAAGACATTTAAACTGAACAATTTGGGCAAAAAGCATATAACCAAAGATGATATCCCAAAACGAACAGGGAAGCAGCAGAGCCCAGCCTGCAGAGAAAGACAATGTTTTAAGAAACTGTAACAGTTCCACAAAAGTTCTGCATTGTAATTTCTCTCTCAGTTTGCAACTGCACTGTTGTTTTAATGCAGGACTAAACATTTTAAAATCTTGACCCCCCTCCTCTTCCCATAATGAAATCTAGGCTTTCCAGTATGTTTTTACAATGCTATTGAGCAGAGCACCACAATTATGACACAGGGCAGTAATTAAATAAGAAAAAAAACCCCAAACAAAACCAAAACCAACTGTCCACAGCTCTGCATCAGGATCCAGACATCCTACATCAAGTTTTGATTATAAGAAGCCATGTCCTGCCAGCTTTAAGGTAGTGTCCACCTCGAAAAGGACTTGTAAAACTGCCATCAGAATTTTGCATTTCTTATCAAAATGGTTCTATATTGATCTTGCTTAATTTTATAAACTTTTTATTTTAAGCCCTAACTGGCAACTTTGCAAGTTAAAGCATCCGGGTACCAAGCTGGGTTCTCCTTATGCAATTAAGGCTAAGATTTTGTGGAGGAAATTCAACCTGCAGTAACCTGACAGCCTTAAGACTATCTCCCCTATAATAGCAGGTACCTATTAAGTATCATCATCAGACCAGCTTACAACATCTGACAGTGCTATTACTTGCATATACGTAGCCACTAACACAACACGCCTGCATTAGAGATAGCTTGGATACACCGAATTGAATGCAGCTGGTCTACTGCGTGAGAAGGTGCTATTGAAGTTGCTCAAGAGCTCATCTGCCTTTTCCAATTCGAAAAGAAACATTACTTAACCCTGCAACCCCTTCCTTGCACATACTGCCATTACAACCCAACAGCACTGCTCCATACCTGTATACTCATTTTTTCCAGAGTGAAACCAGGTTGAAAAGTAGAAGGGGGGTGGAAGGGGGAGACTATGAGAACAAGGACACGGGAGCATGGGGAGGGCCGATGCCTGCCCAAATAGCACAAATATCACATATAGGCCAAATTAAGAAAATTTTTGCAGAGACAGTTACTTGTAAGACTATTGAGAGCAGGAATACAGAGGAAATCACTGCTAAACAGTGCATTGTGTAAAGATGCTGGATTTTTTTTCTTGAAAAGGAAAAAATAAACCATACACACCAAACTCTTACACAAAAATACGCAAGTATACAGGTGTATATTCTTTTCTTTGATGGTAACCTGCACCAGTGTAAAAGGAGTGAAGTCTGCCCAGATGCTGTCTTAGCAAGGCGTCACAAATTGCCTCTCACCTTAAAAGTATACAGTACTACTGGCATTTGTGACTACTAAGTGATTAAAAGAGTAAAAAAATCAGTGTGTCTTGCTAGCAGATGGACTGCTGTTCTGAGTGGGTGCCAGAACTCAGATTTCATGTGGTAGCTACATTTCCAGTTCAAAGCCCCACTAAGAAAAAAACCTACACACATCATGCCTCCACAAAGTTCATTACTAGATGTATTCACTGCATGATTTTTTTTGTTTTCATCTAGACAATTTGCTAAAAGCCAAACACTGCTACATTGAGTATTCAGATAAATATCATAGAAAAAGATCAAGTTTATTTAATTCTTGGGAAAAACTTCTGTATTCCCTTAATGTCTCTGCCATTCATGAACAGAATGCTACATAAATAGGATTCCCTGCATCTCCTGGTAAATCTGCTGACTCTCGTCTACGGAAATATAAAATGAAGCACAGAAGGACATAAAAGTTCACATGAAAAAGGCAATCAGTGAAACAGGTTTTCAAAACTATAGTAATATTTTAATCACAAACATTTTAACAAGAAGTCTTGAAAACTTTTTAAAGATAATTTTTTAAAAGCTCAGCAACCTTGCTTTTCTCTCGGTCCTATTTTTTGCTTGTTCTTGCCAACATTGGCATAGTTTTCAGCCTGGAGACAATAGGGGTATCCTGTTTCTTGGAAGAGGCAGAACAAGACCTTCTGTGTGTATGTAAGATACACTGTGAACAAAATGTCTTATCTGCGTTACGTGCCGGTTCCCTCAGATATCCCTGTTACAAAAATCTTACTAAACAACACTGGCTGGCCTTACAATCCAGCCCCATCTATCCTCCCCCTGCCCTTCTAAACTGTTCTACTTGGGCTGCTAGATTTGTACCAGAACATTTAAAAATGCAGGTTCCAAAACAGTCTTGCAAAAAAAAAAATAAAAAATGCTGAAATATGCTCGATAACTTGTTGTCTTTAGTCCACAAGAACATCAGAGACAAACATAAGCAAAGAGTGGGCTGACATGTGGGGACAGAATTTATCAGCCAGGTACAACAGTGCCTTGGATCATGAAGGCTGATGACCGTATAAAAAAAAGCCAAACCACCAAACAAATCCTTGCTGACAAGCACAAGGGCAAAAAAATGCTTAATTGTCATCACGTGGAGCTACCAAGATAATGGAAAATTTCAGAGACCTTGGAGGACAGCCATGGAAGAAGGAAGTCAAAGCAAGACCGGACAAGGGCAGACCTTTTAAGCAGCTTCATGACTTTAATAAAGAGATGATGGAGGCTTGACTAGACCAGAGTGTCTATTTACATCTAGGGAATTAACGTACTGAATAATCATCAGATCCTGAGAGAAGGACACAAGAAGAGTGTCAGTAGCCACAAATCAAATTTACTGGAGCAAAACCAACACCACTAGGTTCTTTGACCATCCATGCTTCGCCTTCTCTCCATTTCTTCAAATGAGAAGTTTTTCTTGTCAGCAAAATTCAGGAGGTTTTCCAAATACGATTAAGGTACTATAATCACTCACAAAAAAGGCAAAATATTTCAAGATGCCGACTTACTGAGTAAATCAGATTCAGACCTGACATACAGAAAGAAAATAAAGTACTTTAAAACTAAATGCAAAGATCACACAAACAAGAAGTGCTCCAAGAGAATCTGACTCAGAGATTCATTACTCTCAATTAAAATCCCCAAGTTGCTAAACCAAAATTGCGAACACAAAGCAAGGTTGGGAAATCCTTAAACCCAGCTCTCCAAAAAATAAAAAAAAGCAAGAAACAAATCATCTCTCTGTGTTTACGGCAGTTCCTTTTTGGATAGCCTCATGCTAAGGAGGTGGTAGTAAGTTCATCTGACATCTAATACCTCCCGCTATTTGAAGTGCGCACAAAGCTAAAGCTCACCGCAAACACCCAGCGTTGACATCATGGCTATTGTACAGTTTGGACAGACAAAGTGTTCTTATCATTTCCAAGACGGCCGTGACTTCAGCAATGCTGAAACAGAAGAATCAGGTGAATAAACAATCAGTCACAGGGAGTGAAAACGCAGCCAGAAGAGGAAGACTTCTGGCAAGCGGAGGCACCGGCCTCTGCCAAGGATGGCACCATGCCAGTCACATGCGGGCGAGCAAAAGGTTGCCAAGTGTGGGATAAATATTTTTTTAAAGATTCTTTCTCTCCTTGTAAAACGATATTCGATCCTTCCTTTTTTATACTGTTTCTGCTTTTTTAGAGCATCCTTCACATGAAATAATGTTTCAGAAAGAAAAAAAGAGGGGAAAAAAGCCTACTTTTGAGCAGAAACTATAGGAGGAAGGGAGAGTTTTCTCCTAGCCAACTACTGAAAAATTAGCTGTCTAAATTTATCCACAAAGACAGAAAAAACCCAGTAATTTTTGGAATGTTAATCCCTCTACATGACAGAATTTTTAAAATACTGCATTTTAATGTTCTAAACTTTGGTACAGTCTTTCAAACAGCTGACTTCAAACGCTCAAGCAGCCTAGATGAGACCTGATTTCTTTTGCCCAGTACACTGTCAGAATAGAGAGACTGGAGAGACATTACTCAGAAAATCCAGTTCCAGTGATTCATGGCTAGG